GCACATTGAATCCTGGGAGGAAGAAAAACGACTTCGTAGTGGACGGCATTCAGACTTGGATATATATGCTATATACAGGCTGTCCGGCAATGTAGAACAGCCTCACCGGCATCGAGTTCGGAATATTCTGCGAATTCTTGATTTCCGTCAACTTCAACAACCCAAGATCAACTTGTTATTGCGATTACCGTGGCTGTCCCATCCCCATTATCAGCGGTCCACCAGGGAAGTACTTCGTCGGCTCGTTCTCGACCATCGCAACTGGGCTCTTCCATTTCACTTGCCCAGCACGAAGTTGGCAGAGACCCCTCATCCTCGGGTCCATACAGTTATGTGGAACTTCTCGTCGTTTCAGGACTGCTACCTCCTGACATCCCCCGGACCATCATCGTGTCAGTGCGCAGCCTGGCTAAAACGTCAGCCCTGGCTATCTCACGTTCAAGGCCATGTGGCCGCGGGATTGGATGAGTTCCGTTTTCCGGGAGCCCCTCAGCACGTTCATTACACCTCAGCGCTGGCGTCGTATTATGTGGACCTTTCAGTTTACGAAGTGCAGGTTCATGAACGCCTACGAAAATGGTGCTTGCACCATGGCCTGCCCCTGGACCAGTTCCACGCACCTCTCATGCAGCACCTACGCAGTCAATTTCAGAAACATCGGCAGCACGCGTCCACCCATCAACTCCTCACCAAGCACCAGCTGAGCATCTTGCATCGACACCTCGGCCAGGACTTTGTGTGCCATAACGAGGATCATGACAACCACCACCTCATGTTCTTCTGCCCCCAACTCTACTTCAAAGGCTGGCTTCAGTCAGGCACATTTGCCGCCACTCCACTGAAGCCCGACCAAGCTGGGGCTCTTATTGTTGAAGCCATTCCCCGGCACTTGCAGAAGAGGTACAAATGGGCATACAGGAAGAAGACCACCGCGATCCCGGTTGGAAAAGTCTTTCTCAAACGCAAGAAGCAATGGAAATCGGGGCGGACTATTATAGCCTACCATAAGGTGGTACATCGGCAGCTCTTTAAAGCGGTTGCAATCCTCCTAGGCGAGATCGCCGCGAGTACATGGAAGTGTTCGTGGGGGGTACACCCCACGCCGAGGATATGGCAGAACGTCAAACATTACTTTGACAACACAGACGATACAGTCACCCTCGCATTTCACAATGACGATTTGGTCGGCTTCTTCAACAGTGTCCCTCAGGATCAAGTGTGCGCAGCAGTCGAGCAGCTATTAGCAGAGCACCGGCGAGAGCATCCTGGTCTCATCTATTCGGTGGAAACTCAGGCGGCGGTCCACTACAATCGGGTTTTTGCGGGTAAGCAATCCTACGGACGTACGCCGACCACGCGGGTCATTTATGTGGAGGACATCCTGGATATAGTCAAATCAAGCTTCCAATGCATGTATGTCCAGGTGGGGACTCTCATTCTGCGCCAAGTCCACGGAACAGCGATTGGCTCTCAGCTGAGCCCAGTTCTCAGCCACATCTGCGTCGCGAGGCACGAAGTTCTTTGGCAGCGTATCTACGGACAATGGTTCGCCAGTCACAACATCTTCTTGGAGCGATATGTCGACAACAGATTTGTGATCTTCCCGTCTCCGGCTTCCGGTCACCCAGCAGCTCCATTGGAGGCTTTGCTTCAAGCTGACTTTTATGGTGCACCCATCGTGTTGGAACAGGTGGGATCCTCTGAGTTCCTCGGCTTCGTGATCGACGTGGGCGACCGTGCGATTTACTACAAAACCCCAACAAAAATCTGGCAGATCAGAGGACCCCACACTGCAGGAAGTCTTTCCACCCTTCTCTCCGGGGCCAGATCACGGTCAGCCCTCGCTACCAAGTACGCGCACCCGGCCCGAGCAGTACAGATGGCATTGGATCAGCTTCGCAGTATCTATTTGTCCGCCGGCTACAAGTCAGCTGACCTGCAGCACCTGTTTCATCTTCCGGCCATCCCAACCGGAAAGAACGTTTAAGTGCCGATTGTCGTTGGTTTTCGATGTTTGGCTTTGTGGCTCGCTCTTGTTGGTTTTGTTTTGTTTCGGTCTTCTTCCGAACCGGGTCTGGCTCGGTTGGGCTGTTGCGCTCGGGTATTTTTTCTGTTTGGGTTCCGGGGTCCCTTGACTCTTGTGTTTATCACGGAGCTTGTCTGCTGGTTCAAGACGTGGGCCTTCTCGCCGACATCGGAAAGCGGTCGTCATGCTCGGACGCATGATAGCACTTCACCACCGTATGACCCAGAACGCTGCGGACATGATGCAGCTCATCCAGGAGACCCTGAATCAGGCTGACGAGGCACACAGTCGCAGGCTTCATGACGGGCACGATCGCTTGTGGCAGCAACATGTCCGCGGCCTGTCGCTGGCAGAATCATCGCGCCCACGAGCACACGATCATGCTGGACTCGATGAGGTGGAACCACCCGGCCCCGTGATTCTCAATTCGGTCAACTCGGAGGATCTGGCCGACCCTCCACCACCAGTCGGCTTTCAGTCACTCCAGCTACACGCGGACCATAAGCGCAACGCAGTGGCCAACCCCAAGTCGTTGTCCTACGGCATCATCACGGGGGACACCAACGAGGCTATAGACCCGCGCTCGAAGAGCTCCATGGCGCACACCTATGCTGGTCAGCTGAGCATCAAGAAGGCCAATATTCCCCGTTCCATCATGGACAAGGGTGGGACCGATCGACGCAGAACAAAGCGGAAGCGATGCCGCGCTACATCCTCCGAGAAGACGAATTCCCTGGAACCTCCAGCACGTCCAGCACCTCGCACTCCAGCGCCAGCTCCGGTCTCTCCTTGCGCTGGCCTGTTCTCCTCTCCTGAATCCCTTCCCGAACCTCCTGCTCGTGCTCACTCCGATGCCGGCAACCCAGGAACTCCCCCGGAAGTACCTCGCGCCTGGACAGAGGAAGATGACCAGCAGCTTTGCAGCCTGAAAGCGGACAACCGGTCCAAGTACTCGTACAAATCGCTGGCCAAGAAGCTCAACCGGTCCATCGCGGATGTCACGCAGCGCTGGAAGAGCCTGGAGCGCCTCAGAAAGGTGAAGGAACAGCATCAGAAGGCCACCTGAACCTAGGCGGTGATGCCACATGTCAAAATGACCGCGAGTAATTGAGCACAGGCAGGAGTTCCACAAACGGACCAAATCACCCATCGGGAATCATGATGGAGGCGGCTTTCAGAACTTGGCGGTTCCTCTGAGTGTTGAGTTTCGGGCTGTTTTGTGGTTCTTAACCCCCTGCGGGGGGTGTGTGTGTGGCCCCCCTGTTCCTAAGGGGTTCTGCGGTCGTGCCTCTCTCTCCTTATTGGAGTATGCCCATGCCAGCAAACCGACCCCTTTCTTAGTACCTCGTCGCGGTAGTCATGGGCACTGACGAGTAGCCGCGGCGAGCGAACAGATCGGGAAGGCTAGCTGACGAAACTCCACTTTTCAGATACTTGGGGATGCACTCTTGCATTGTTGCCGTCTCATATCAAGTGTGTGTGTGTGTGTTTTCTAAGCGTACCTTTCTCGGGGAGGTGTTGAAGCAAAATCAAAGGACCTGTGCTCGTTTATGAACCACATGAAAATCCCAGCAACAACACAGCCAATGGTCCAACAAGCTGCAGCTCTTGACAATCGCCAACAGCACTAAGCTCATGTTTGTGTTGCACTTGTGTCTACAGCATCTGCCAATGCATGCAATCTGGCAGAGTAATTAACAAGCAAAATATGTTTTTGTTCCCGGTGATGCCCTTACTTCTGATTTCCTCGTCATACAGTCTACGCTAAGTTTTGACGGCAAAAGGACAACCCACCATGTTAAATACCAACTAGGTTCAAAGCCATGGTGAGGGTCAGCGCTTCCAGGTCTTATGCTAGGGGAACATCATTTGATCTTGATATGGGTAAACATACCTGGAAGCCTCAAACTACCCTGAGTGTGTCTTGTTTTTTGGGCACACCCCCCTCCCAAAGCATGATGTGTTTTTCTTTGGTTTCCCTTTACAGCCACCCAACTTTGGGTTGCCGTTCACAAAGGGGAGCCACTCATATGAGAAGAATCTTGCTTCTCGATCTCCCAGGGTTTGAGGCAGATCGTTACCTGGAAGCGCTTTGCGGGTTTCACCGATTTTTCTTCGCTTGTGTTGGTCCTTTTTTGGAATCTGGTCGTACTCTTTCAAAATTCTGAGGGGGTGGATCCACAGATTCGCCACCTCCAAGCCGTTTTCTAGATGGGAGCTGCGGCTCAGGAGCGGAGGCTATGCCAGAGCCCCAGCCGGCAGGTGGCGGTTTTTGGCGCTCACTTCCCCTGAGTTTTTTTTTTTTTTCCCCGGCCCATCGCCTCAGGAAGTGAGTTGGACTCATTCTCAAACACCGACAGGAAATGATTGACTTCCGGCCATGGTAATAACCTGAGTGAACCTCGGATTTCCGTGACCAAGGGACCAATTTTCTACCATCTTGTAGCGGACGAGCTGGTGGCAGCAACCCGCGTGAAGCAAGCGAAAAATACCAACGTCCCAGGATCATCTTACCCCTTAGTATGGGCTTGTGTTTTGGAGAGTTTTGTTCTTTCCATTTGGTTTCAATGGGAGTTTCCACGAGATGGGGTCACCCCCAAAGTTCTGGGCAGCCAAGGAGGGAGCAACTTGAGCAATTTGTGGGAGCTTTCTCTTGAAACTGTTGGAGGGCTTTGCGGTAAGACTTGCGTTTTTATGTTATGTTGTGTGTTCGGCTGCCTGCCTGCCTGTCTATCTGTCTGTGATGGTTTGTTTGTTTTGTTTGTTTGATTGTTTAGGCGTTGCATATCCGTCTACCGATGTCGCCCGTCGCCGGCCTGTCGACCTTGATGCTCGAGAGTCAGAACGCGACAGCGAAGAACCTGTTAGCTATGTTCCCTTTGGTTCCCTTCAAGCAAAAAAGAGTAGTTTCTTTCTATCCGCGTTTCTTTCTAGTGATGACCAAACTGTGATTCACTGAAACATGTTTCATTAGCGCAGAACATCTCATAGCCAAATTGCGATGCCGTTCTTGCCGAAGGTGCAGGCCGCTCGATAAAGAAGGGATGGTGCTGTTTCGTGAGAGTCGCTCTATGTCAAAGCAACTAGGTCGAATACATTCAACTTAATCATGACACAGCGTGATACATGATGGTTGCGCAATATTATAGATCTGAGTGATGATGACAGGGTCGACATGCGTGTAGTTATTGTGCTGGTTGGAAGGGGGAAGCCAAGACTCGTGTTTCCGAGGACTTGGGTTGCAGCTTAGCGTTGAGGTAAGCTTGTGCTTCAAGCGACAATGCTAATCTTGCGAAGTATAGCTCATAGTGAAGGTGTCAAAGAAAGTAATACTGTTTCTGGAGCTTATCAAAGTCAGACACTGTGGTGGTTCTGTTGAGCCATGGACAAAATCCGCTTAAACCAGTTGGCGAACAGCTTATCCCAGTATTCGTAGCCTTGCATCCGTTTTGAAGTGGTCCAGTGGTGCGATCTTGAAAAAAAAGTCCAGGTACCATGCTAATGTTGGGCACAATTGGCTTCTCAGCCGTTGAACGTGATGAGAAGTTGGGTCAACTAGGGCGCCCTCGTTTCCCTTTTTGGGGCCTTTTTAGACTCAACCAGCCAAGAAAGGGGATGCCCCCTTTTTTTCCGCATGCACAGCCACAGGGCTGAAAAAGAAGATCTACTCTGTCACAAGTTGTGAAGCATTTGCATGGTGCTTCTGAAGTGCAGAACCGATCCAAAGTTTGCAATCGAACGACGCAAGCAAGAACCAGGGGTCCATCTAATTTACTCGTTTCCTCTTGTAGAGCAAGCAGTTTTATTTTCTGCGGAACTCATGCGCTTCGACCAACATCCCCGGCTAATTCAAACACCACCTGGTGCCGTGACAGGCTGGGAACATTAAAGCAAGACTTCGATTTGTGTTTGCTCGTTTGCTTTCTTTTTGTTGTTTGGGTAAGTGTTAGTTTGCTTGGTTGATTGGTTGACTGGTTAGTTGATTGGTTGGTTGTTTTGTGTGTGTGTGTTTTGTGTTTTGTGTTTGGTATGAATGTGTGTATGTTTGTTTGTCTGTCTGTCCTGCTTGCTTGCTTTATTGCTTGCTGGCTTGTTTGTTTCTTTGTTTATTGGGGTGGCTGATTGGAGGGTTTGGCGTTGCTTGCTTGGAAGGCTTGCTTTTTTTTGTTCTTTGCTTTGCTTTGCCGTGCTTTGCCTGGCTTTGCCTGTCTTTGCTTCGGCTTGCTTGCTCATGTGCATGTCAGTCCGTATCCATTTGGTCGATTACTCCAGTGTGCTTATAGCTCAAAACTGGTTGGACATGACCGTGACTTTGAGCGTGGTTGACATCACGTTTAACGTCCAATGAGTCCCTAGATAGAATTCATAAGTTCAAAAGCTATGTGCGGCCGTAGTTCATTGGTTGATTAGCCATTAAGTGTATGACGCCCTAGTTTGTTGGTTGATTAGGCATGAAGTGACTAATTATTGTTGCAACCAGCCAAAGAATTCAGACGGCCATGGATCATCTAAAAACGGACCTTTACTTGGGATCAGTCGGGGGGATGACCATCATAACGATTTTGTCGACAACAGTAAGGATTCTTATGGGAACCATGGCATGGCCTATGAGTGGAGTGTTGACCATGTGGGTACGTCTGAACAAACGCAGACCCTGGGATTCAGTGAACGGGGCTCCCCTTTTGGGTTGATGTTAGGCGAGCTTCCCTGCCTCTCAGGTGCTGTTGAAAAGCTTATGTGGAATCCTTCTGAACAGAAACCAAAATAGTTTCCTCTTAGTGAGGTGCTGTTGAGAAGAACGTATTTGGGGAATCCTGTTGAACAGAAGCCAACACATGGCTATGGGTCAAAAATGCGTATCCAAAATGGAACCCTGGTAGATGGAACCAAAGACCAGAACCTGCGGTCCCCTGGTTGTATTTTGACCCATGCCCACGTCACCCAAGAACCTGGAAACAAGTCATCGCGAGGACGAGCCGGAGCCCCACAGCCACACTGTGCGCATGTGCCTTGGAGCGAAAACAAAAGCGAGCGGAGTCCCATGGGCCATCGGGGCGCAGTCAAAAGACCGGTTCCTTTCCCTCCATTTGCTTAAGAATACTTGAAAAGAAGAAAGCATATATTTTCCTTAGGTGCTAAAAGGAATTCATCATTGCTGGACGTAGTTTTCTCCTGGGGCCTCAACCAAATGGAAGTTTCCCTGAACGTTGGGATGGTCATCCACGTGGCACGGATCCGCCGTTATAGTGATTCCTATTGAGGGCTCCACCACCAGGCCATGTATGAGGAGTTTCAACAGGTCAGCATGAGGGTGCCACAGCTTTGGCGGTATCACTCTTAGTTTCTGAGAGCCTTACCAATCATGGAAGTTTGGAAGGATGTCTTTCTCTGGAACTGAAAGAGGCGACACTGCATTGCTCCAACTGACATTTTGTTTTCAATTTATGGGTGGCGTCCACTGAAACGATCGGATTCCACTTAGCACCTTCCGGAGGTCCGGCGCAGAGAACATCGAGTATGAGTCTGAGACACACAAACCTGTGCGCCGCAACAGCCTGCAGGACTGGAGTGGGGCCCGCGGCTCGGGTTTTTTTCGGGTCTGTGAGGATTTTCGTGGGGCTCGGTATCCGTCTTGGACTGCGTTTTGACGGCATTTTCAACAGGAAGCCACTCATCTTCTCAGTCGGTCAAAGCGAATCGACCTTGGACGACCTGTTGGTTTTCCGATTTGGGTCCATATTTCGCCAGGGTTCCTTAAAAGCTTCCATTTGGTTGAGAATATGTTTTATTTTCCCCTGTTGGTTGTGAAGGGAATCTATCACTGGACATATTTGTTTGTTTTTTTTTGCAGGGGACGTATTCGCAAATGGAGTTTGGTTGGATTTGTCAATTGCAAATCCCCTAGAACCACATAAACTTGAGGTATCAAACAATAGCCTGGGGACACGAATCAGCGACCCAGGGCCATAGGGGATCGTAGGGGGCTCAGCTGCCTGCAGGGGATCCTCGGCGAATAGTAAGGGTCTGTAGGCTTAGGCTCAGGGTTTAGGGGAAGCATATTTCCGGCTTTGGGGTGTTTGCAATGGACGAATCCCCTTTGACCAGACCTGAAACCTAAAACAAGTACAAAGGGACCCTCCAGGCAGAGCAAATGAGGTCATCCTGAACAACTTAATACCAAGACCGGGAGTTCATTGGGAATTCGACATTATGGCAAAGCCAACACCAATCAACCACAGAATGTTGTGACTAATGACTCCCTCTCCCAAGCTCTTCATCAAGAGGCTGCTGTGAGAAGGAAGGAACACCCACTAAGCGAAGGATGCCCCTTGAAGTGGGCGGGGTTTATTCGACCTTGGAGCCTTGGAGTACAAAGAAGGGACAATGCCCTTGGAACATGTTCATCACAAGGGCTGGGTGGGGGAGGGAGCCCAAAGCCCTTTACGAGGCTTATTTGAGCCCCCTCCCCCCCTCTCCCTCCCGCCCCGCCCGTCTGAGTTTAAAGCTCCTCTCAAGCAACCTCCTGTTCTTCTCCTTAGGCCTTAGGCCCAGGATTTGCTAACCAAACTTGCCCAAGGCGCTCACTCAGTGCCTGGGCACCTTTGTGGTTTGGGGGTTTTGCACTGGACAACTCCGCAACCAAACCAAAGAAGCGTTTTTGTTTAACCAGTAAAGTCCGGCAGTGCCGGGGGGGGGGAAGTTTCATAGATGTCAAGACTATAGTTTGGAGCGAGCTCCACATGAATTGCCAGTGCATGTCGGCGCGTCTTCTTTCCTGGTGATTGTCTATACAAGTGCATGCATGTTCGAAGTCAAGTTAGCAAGTTAAGTAATTACTTAGCGAGCTAGTTGGCTTTAGTTTGCTGGTTAGCTAGTGATCTAGTTCGAGAACTAGCTTGCCCCCTGGTTATCTCCTGGCAGCTACCGAGTTGGCGAGCTAGTTCGTGATTAGCTAGTTTGCTAGCTATAGGTAGTTGGACCACCGCCCACAGCCGCCCGTGGGACGAACTCCATTTTTTGTTGTTTTTTTTTGTTTGAGCTCCATTTTTTGTGCTTTCTTGATTTTTTGGTGTGGTGGGGTGGTGGGGTGGGGGGGTGGGGGGGTGGGGGGGTGGGGGGGTGGGGGGGGAATGATTACGTCACTTCTTCGAGTTTGCTTGCCAAGAACTTCTTTATTTCCTGTTTCTGTGGGGTGTGTGATGTTCTCTGTTAGTGTGCTGAGCTGTCTTGTTTTGCTGTAGCTTGGTGTCAGAAGACGTTCGTCTAGCGTTTGCCTTCATCGTCTTGCTGCGTTTGGCTGGCGTCTCGCATTGCTTCTCCACACACTCGGCGCTGGGTCCTTTCTTCACTGTTTGGCTGCCTTACTTGGACTCTCTTCTGGACGTCGCATGCCAACCAGCAGACCCCATCTCGTCCTTTGTGTCTGCTGTCACGGTATGCCCACATAGGTTTCCGCTTGACTTTTCGGCTTTAGGCGCCTACGTTCCTTTCTTGTGGTCCACCTGGTGTGCATCCTGGAGTCGTCATTTGCTGCGCCCTTGCTCTGCTTCCATCGGCGTGGCTTCTGCTTGTTGGGTCTTGTCTCGTCGCTTGTCTGGCTTACGTCTCGTCGCTTTGAGTGAAGAACAGACTAAGGACCCCTTCCCCCCGTCGGCTTTTGAAAAGAGAGTTCATCATGCGGCTCCCAGGCAACATGCAGTCTTGAACCTGCCAGTGTGTTGCCTGCAACCGAAAAACCGACAAAGATTTTTGGGGAATTTTGAGTGAAGAACAGACTAAGGACCCCTCCCCCCCGTCGGCAATTGAAAAGAGAGTTCATCATGCGGTTCCCAGGCAACATGCAGTCTTGAACATGGCAAAATCCTTGACACACGATAGTTGGGGGCTGGAGAAATGAGCGTGCCAGTGGGATTCGGGATCGCAAGAAATTCCCCACTGTCTCGTCGCATTTTACATGAGGGACAGACGCGGCTCTCCTTGTCCCCCTGTAATCGCAGCTTCGACAGATTGCTCCGAAGCCAAAAAACGCACGATATTACACGGGCTACTATGGGCGGTGTACCTAGTTTGCTGACTAAGTAGTAGCTAGCTCAGTTAGCAGTTAGCTAGCTAGCTAGTTCAGTAGTCAGCTCAGTATGCTAGTTGACTTGCTAGCTATAGTTTGCAGTTTAGTTTGCCAATCGGCTAGTTTGCCAATTAACAACTTCGGTAGCTAGAAATTTGGCCCTGTGAAGAGTAAGCCGGTTGGCTGACTAAGCAATTCGGTTAGCCAGCTACACCGTCATTGGCTGGGTAGCTAGCAAACTCGTGAGCTACCAGTTAGACTACAACTAAGCTACTTCTTCGACAGGTAGTCTATCAAGTTACCCAAACGAGCAACACAACACGAGTTGTTCATCACTCACCACCCGAACGCCCGCACAGAAATCGTCATCGGACGCTTGCGCCAACTGAAGTCTGAGCAAACCGGAAGTTGCCGAGGGTTCCGCAAGCAAATTTAAAAGCGCCATAAACATCGCGTTGTTAAATATTTTACCACTCGAAAGTCTGCAGAGGGCTTATCGCTGGAAGGGCGAATGGTCCCGTTCCCAGCCAAATTTATCAGGGCCACGGTTTCTTCCCGCTATGCCCCAGTTCTCACGTCTTCCAGCTTTTCTCCTCTTTCCACGCGCAGAAAAGGAAAGCGCAGATCAATATTGGTTCTTTCAGAACTTCTTGCAGGAAACCAAATTCGGAAACAAGATAGGAAAAAAAACACCAATACCCGGTGGCGCGCCTTTGTTTCGGGGGTGGGGTACCCTTCTTCTCCTTCTGCTTCGAAGCTCGGACTCGGGACTCGAGCGACTCGCGCCGGAGGCTTTGCAGGAGGCCACGGAGCTGGAGCAGCACGCCCAGGACTTGCTCATGGACGACCAGTTCGGCAGCGTCCAGGTGGGGGTTTGGCACGCGTGTTTTTTTGTTGTTTGTTTTCAAAATCCGGCCTTCAAAGGTGGGGCAAGATTTCGGTGTCTAAACGTACACATGCAGAAACATATACGCAGATGTACATTGATATATACACACATATATATATATATACATATATATATATAGAGAGAGATGCATGTTTTTGTTTGGGGGAGGGTGCAGAACAAATATAGACATTGTTGGATCAACCCCGGTTTGTTGGGGGATCCAATTTCCCTTCCCTATCCCCCCTCCCTCTGGCGGAAACCGGGGGGGGGGGGTGCGGGAGTTTGGTGTGTGGTCCTCCTCCCTTTGAGGGTCACCTTCAAACAGGGGACCCTCAAAATGCAAACATCCCCATGAAAGGATCACCTTGGAACGTGAAATGAGGTCACAACAATGTACATCCTTTACTTGGCCTGGCCTGGGGCGTTTTCTTATCTGAGTTTTTTGGAATTGCGCTGTGGACCCTGCGATGAACATTTGGATCAACCACCACTAAAACGGTCTTCCAATTGGGGTGTGTTCTGCTGCCATCTCCACGCAATAGCTGGGGGCTGCGAAGAGCCATCCGACTAAACCACGAAAAAGACAAAAGGTGACTGTTGGTGTTTGGGGGCAGTGTCCAGAACTATACTTCAAAGGCTGAACGTATACGCCCATATATGAACCTCTGGTACGAACCCCTAGTTTATTGGTGAATTACCGTTAGTTCTGGCTTGCTTACGGGAAACCAGGTTTTCAAAGGGTCCAAAAGCCTATAGAGTCAACAATTGAATACGATTTTATTTTCAGCCTATCCGCTCAAACCTCTCCGTTTGAGTCCAGAGAGGCCAAGCAGATGCGGACCAACCTAGCGCCTATCGACCCGGCGAAGATTCTCGGATTCGATGTTTTTTTGCTGCTGCGCTAGGCAAGGAAGGTGGGAATGAACCCGGGCTTTGGAAACCACAAGGAACGTCTTTTTTGGGGGTCATTCCCACATTCCTTGTGGTTTCCTTTAAGGGGACCAAAGACCGGGTTTATTCCCTCATTCCCGGAGCACCAGCAAGGTTTTTCATCGGGAATCCCGCGGGACAATTCCTTGCCACGTTTGTCACGCAATTTCTTGTTGGCGGTTGTCATGGCCTGCTACAGGTTGACATTTTCCTTTGGCTCCTGCTTTATGCTTGCTTCTTGTCGGTTCCCTTTGCCACCCTGTGTCCTTATTTCCGGTTTTATTGTTGCCCTTGTTTCCTTGTGCTGGGGCTGCCTTCAAAAGCAAACCGTTCCCTTTGTAGTTTTCTTTCAGTTTCTTTGTTTTTTTTTGGGGGGGGGGTGAGGGGTTAGTTGGTTTAGTGCGGGTTTCCATTACCCCCATATAAATAAGCTTTTAGCGGGGGATCTGCAAACGGACAGCACTGAAGAATAGATCTGTTGGGTGGCGCAACCCTGGCCCTGGGCAGTCCCGGGGTTCATGACCTTGCCATGAAGGCTGCTTTGGATGCCTCCGTTTGCTTCAGAAGTTTGTTTATTTCCCCGTCTTCGGTTTAAAGGGAATCTATCACTACTGGAAATATGTTTTGTTTGTTTTTTTTTCCAGGGGGCTTGAGCAAATGGAAAGAAGCCTTTCGCCTCAGCTCACACGCAAGACCTTGGATTTCTTTTTTGCAGACCCCCACCCCCCCACCCCACCCCAATTCCGGTGACGATTACTCTACTGTCTGAGTTGGACTCTACTCACTTGGATCCCCCTTCCGTGTTCGTACTTTAATGGGGGGGGTTACCACCCGGAAATCTGGAAGAGTTCTTGTGGCTGGTTTTCGTTTTAGTCGACTGGGATTTCCTAACCCGGGGATCTTGGGTTTGGACAGTTGTTGGTGGGATACGAACCCTTTGGGTAAGCTGATGGCTTGGAGTTGGGGGGCTACTTGCTGCACCTCCGTGGCGGGCCCCATTCAAATAGAGCACTCTAACCTAGGCTCCAAATGCAACGGCCTGACGACTAAAAAAGAACAAAATTATCTGCCTTTCTCAGACTTTGAATGTCAGCAACTGCCCGAAACAGAATCTTCCTCTTTAGGGACCGTGCGGTGGGAAGGTAGCCCTAAATACAGAACGGCAAGAACTAGCTTTTCCAGCATGGTTGTGGAAACCTGGGTTTTACGGCCACTTTCTGTGATGCCCTTCAAAATTCCCCATGTAGAATGACAACGTCAGAAGGATTCCACACAACAGAATGACAGAAAGGGGTCTTCAGCTCAGCAGGCGAAAGGGTGGGACCCTTTTTATGTTGGATTTCAAGGGAAGCCATAGGGAGCACCTTGTTTTTTGGGGGGGGGTGATTTCAAGGGAAGCCAAAGGACGCCCATGTTTTGGGGGGCACCCAATCTCCACACCTCTTAGCTTCCGGGACTCGAGCCATGGAAGCTGGAAGCCGATCTTTCAGGTTGCCCTGGTGGCGGAGATGGGCCTTCTTCGTCGTCAGCTGGCCGGGCTTTGACACCTTCATCGGCCTCATCATCCTGTTGAACGGCTTGACCATCGGCGACTCGGGGAGCGAGACGGCTGATGGCATTTTGCAGGAGTTCAGTCGAACGACGAAAGTCTGAAACAGATTGCAACGCCCAAAAGCGATTCCCACAAATTGGTGTGAATAGGTTCTACTGTTGGGTTTGATTGGGATTGTAAGGGTTATGGTAGAACCAAAAGTCGATGAGCTGCTCACATGCGAGCAACCCCTAGCTAGAATCCGCATCGGCCATTTTAGAAGAGGGTTCTACTACCTGTTTAAGTGGGATTATCTTGCTCTCATGTAAGAATTTCACACATTGTCACCATCTTAGAACCCAAGTCAATTGGTTTTGGGCGCTGCTCCCAAAATGGCTCATCAGGGTTGCCCCGAGCCGTCAAAAGACCAAGCCAAGCCACTTGGGTCCTTTTTCCAGGGAAGAAAGGTGACGCTCGGGGCTTTGGAGTAGCCGTCCGATCAATCAAACCGTAAGAACAAATTGAAACCAGGTCGGTGGGTGTGTCAAGTTTTAGGGGATCCCTTGTACACAACGAATCCAAATGGAGAACAGTTGCGTTTTGTTGGATCCAACCTACAAACAGACACACCCACCTTGTCTTTTCTTGGTGATGCGGATGGACAAAATCTGCACCAGGCACGAATCAGTAGGTGGTTTACCCCTGTATTTATAGGAGCTTTTGTCCATCCCAACTGGCGCGAGGCGGGTTTTGCCCCCTTTTTGGCCCTCAAGTGCGGGTTCATTGCAACTCACCAGCAAACTGCAAGATTTCATGGAAAAAATCTACATATGAACCCTTGAACCAGGCCACTTAAGCCCAGACCAGCCAAGTACTTGAGGCAAGACAGTTATAGCAGTCATGGTCATAACCACTTAGGGGACTTGCAACCATGGCTTTGAGTTATGAACCATGGCTCGCGAAGCTAAGTACCTGTTGTTTCTTGGGACCCCAAAAAAAGAACAACGCCCGAATCATGTGTGCATCCGAAAGGAAGCCAGTTGGAACCCATGGTTGTCACCCGAACTTATCGTTTCAACCCACGCCTTGTGGATCCCATGGCGGGGTTTCTGACAGTTGGTTGCCTGCCCCCCCCCCTACGAGTAGGGGGCCCTGCCAAAAGAGGTGATGGGTATGTACTTTTTAGAGGCTACCCTTGTTGTGGTTAAAGGGACACCGAAAGGCACACCCGTCCGCTTACCACAAGCTCAGCTTTTTTGGGTTCCTCAAAAATGGTACTTTGGTTTCCCTCTGGTTTCCCTTTCAAAGCCACAGAACAGTCTTGGTATACCCCTCACAAGAAAGCAACAAGTACCGACGTCGCCTCCCAGTGGTTTCCCTTTGAAACCCACAAAACCATCTTGGTACAAGAAAGCCACGGCTTTCGACTTCGCTCCATTCAGGTGTGGACACCCAGGTCCAAGCGAAGATCCCGCTGGGCTGCGATGACACTTGCCGCTGCGACACCCCGAACACGAAGTGCCAGTTGGCGGATCCCTGGGTGGCCACTGCCGCCACCCGGCGAGAGAGAGAGAGGTGAGCGCGAAATCGTGGTCCGGGGAAGCCTTCCCCTTCTAGGTGCCCAAGCTAGGTGCCCTTTTACCGTTTCTTTTATGGGGGGAGGGTTTCCCTACTAAAGTAGACTACGGAAAAACGGGTACCCCTATTTTAACCTCGGCCGGAGAAAGAAGCGAAACCATGGATGGTCCTACTTGCCCTTACCCCCTACTCCAAATACCCACTTTTTCAAATGTAATTATTTTATTGAAAAAAAACTTGGTTTCCATGGTAAATACCTCCTTTTTTAGTAGAGGGTCGACATCTACCCTAAATTATCTTGCCTAGGTCCCCCAGTAGTGCCCTTTTACCCTTTTTGGGGAGGGTTCCCCTACTAAAATAGACTACAGGAAGAAGGTTACCCTTGTTTTAGGTCTCTGCTGGAGGATCTAGTGTACTTCCCCTATGTTGCGATCGGTGCGATAGGGAATGAGAAATGGAATGAACCGTTTTTGGGATTCCCGAGTAAAGGACACCACCAGTTGGAGGGTTTATCTCGGGGTCATTCCATTTAGCATTCCCTGCCTATTGCACCAGCAGGTTATTTCAGGGTGTTTGGAGTTTAAGACTTTGCAGGTTGAATGCTCGTGCCTCAAATCGGGTTTCAAAGTTACATGTCGGGCCGGTTCTCAAAATGGAGGTAGTCGTTTTGAGGATGTCACCTTGAACAAGAGAGATTAGGGACTACCGGGTTTCAATAAAGGTCCCATTCTCACGCTGTTTTGCAATATAGAACCTCAGGGAATGACACTTGTATCAGAGTCAAAGGTTGGATATGACTGTTTGGGTCTCCATCTATGAGCTGCATATCCAAACCCTGGGGTGAACAGTTACCACCATTCCGCTTGTTCAGTCTTCCGGTCTTCACCAAAGGAAGCGTGGAACTGCGGATGGCGAACCTTAGACATAATACGCAAAGCAATTCCCTGGGGTTCAAACCACCATTAACGTTTGATAGTTGGGCTGATATTCTCACCTTTCTTTACCTAAGGATTGTCATCCAAATTGTGTCCTTGCCATTTTTTCATGGGGTTGAAGCTTAGGGTCTATGTTTAGCTGCATATCCAAAGAAGTGAGGTCACTGCTAAACTTATCATCGCGGGTGATTGCTATTCGGAGGGGCGAGTCAATTGATATCCTGTGCTTTGAAGGCTCTGCACGTCGATTCTTTTGGGTTCCCCTGCCAACCCCAAAAGAGGGTACCAACTCCTAGAGAGACACTTTCCCGCCACAGACCACTGCGCTCAGTTTGCTGTGCTTGGTCCTGCTGGGCCCAAACACCTGAAGGCAAAAGCTTTGCCCGAACGAGACGACGACGACAATAATTGTGATAATGATGGCAGTGGTTGAGATGATAAAGCTGCGTTGTCCAAAAGATGGCCTCCCAAACTTTAGGCTCCCCAGCTCTCCAGACAAACAAAGACACAAGGTACAAGCAGGGGTCAAATAACAGGGATCCCTCTTTTTCCCCATGTTTTGGGCCTCCGCAAGTGAGAGCCCTACTGGAGATAGGACATCTGCAACTGCTCCTGCTGCTGCTGCTGCTGCCGAATATAATGACCATGATGATGGTGATGGTGATGATGGTAGTGCTAGTGCTGGCGTTGGCGCTTGCTCTTGCACCGAGGACAACGTGTTTTACGGCATTTACATCGCAGAGCTGATCTTGAGATTCTTGGCCTACGGCGTGCGCGCCTTGGCGCTATGATGAGTCTCACGGGGGCTGAGGGAGGGGAGGGGGAGGGAGCCCTAATAAGCCCTAAAGCGTGAAGGGTTTAATAAGGGCTTTTTTGGGCTCCCTTCCCCTCCCCTCCCTCCCCCCTAGCCCACATGAATTCATGTACGATTTGGCCATCGAAACCTGTGACATGTTCTATCAACAATGGAAGGTGGACACAGGGCTTTCCCGAACTGATCTTTTTTTTCCAAACAGCTCCTGTCAGCTGCCGAAATTGTTTTTTCAGGGGGCTCTTCTGGACGGCACATGTTCAGCTTCTTGACCAGGCCAGGTCGAGCCAGCACAACCTTTGTTGAAGGATGTTGATTTGGCACCAGTGGTGCCCTGTCATATCCGGGAGCCTTCACACAAAATCGGTTGATCATTGCCTTTTTGGTGCCAAGAGCGGTTTTGGGGTCCGAAGGTCTTTGACAGGAGACGCCCTTATTGCAACCTCGGAAGCTCTAGCGTGCATGGCGGCCGCCAGGTAAGAGAAGCCTCTGCAAGCGGCTCAGGATATGAAGATGACTTTCGTTGATTCCTGCATGTAATGCTAGGGCGTTTTGAGAAACATGCTTCATGGGGGCTGGGGGGAAGGGAGGGGGACGGAGCACAGCCCTTAAGGCCGCATTGTGGGCTCGATAAGGGCTTATTTGGGGTGCCCCCTCCTCCCCCCAGCGCCCATCCATGCTGAAGAAACGTCACGATGTGTGAGTTCTCTAACAAGGCATGCGAATTTGTGTGTGCTTGGAAACCCTGCTGAGGACCTTCACTTCCTCAAGTAAAGGAAGCCACAGACTGTGCAATGCAATTGTCCAGCCCTGATCTTAACAGAAACGCCAGCCAAGTCCGGCAAAGGAGTAGTATGAGTCACTGATATTTTACGGTTGTCAAGGGCCCCAAATGCCCCCCCTCCCCAATCCCAATCGGGGCTAATACCGACTTTCGTGGGTTTCTGTCAGGGATCAATAGGGTGTTTCCCCTCTTTGGGGGGGGGGCTGACAACCATAGGGTGATACCTTTGGGGAGGATCTTTTGGGCAGCCGAAAGAGTCTCAGCCCTGGGGTTCAGTGACCACCATGGAAATAATGGTTGGGTTCATATTTCACCGCCATTGTTCAATCCCTTCAGGATTGTCCTCCAAATTGGGTCTCCTTGGGCCATTCTTTTCATGGGGCGTTCGGAACCTGAAGTCTCAACCTCTCAGCAACTTCATCAAGATGCCAGCTTCGATGCAGTGCCAGACTCAACGGACCTCTTTGTCCTGTCATGGCACTTTTGGCTTTTTGGGGGCCGGATCTGTTTGGTTCGCATAGAGGGGTGAATGGATTGAGGACAAAGGTTTCCATGGCTCTTCTGGGCTTCCTGCTTTTTTTCCTCTGAAACAGCCCAAGGGCAACGTTTTGCAGGTGCATCTGTCTGGCCATCGCTTTGTGCCCCAGCTCCAAGCATGGCTGGGGCTTTTGGGTCAGCAAATCAGCCACTGGCCATGTGCCCATAGACCAACGAGCGGCCAATTGATGCCAATGGCTGAGATTGCCCTCACTTCCTGAGTTCCTGGACTTTACTTGTTGGGTCTGGACCGTCTCTTGAGCTTCTTGCTGGCTCCAGCAGGAAGTGAAATAGAGCTGGGATATATGCAAGCCATGTTGCAAGTGACTAGAGTTGAGTTACAACCAGGCACAATGGTATATTTGAAAATAAGGTCGAGACCTCGATCGAATTTGATTTAGTTGTTTCCCTTTAAAGCGCTATATAGAGGGTAATTTTGAAGGTGCCACTTTTTCATGAGCCCAATATGGCTGTGGGTCAAAACCAATGGTACCATTTTGGGGTAGGTGCACCGTGGGGATTGGGATGTTCACTGGGGGTATGATTTGGCTTTTGACCCATGGCCATATTAAGCTGAATCGCAGGTGCTTGGTACAGCCACTGGGTCAAGTTCGACTTCTTCTTGGTCCTCAGCGCAACCGTCGACCTGATCCTAAAAGCGCGCCTCGGAGGCAGAAGGCTGCGATGACTTCCGCATGTTCTGACGGTCATCCTATCGCGATCGGTGCGGTAGGTAGGGAATGAAGGACTTGGTAGCTCCTAGCCATCCCGCTAGCATTTTTACCTTTTTAGTGTTGAGCGGGGATTTCCATCTAACCCACTAAAAGTTAAACTTTAAGCGGGGGATCTGAGGACAGCCCAGAGGAATGAATCGTGTTGGGGTCCCCTTAAAGGAAACCACCAGTTGGATGGTTTATCTCGGCGTCATTCCATTTCTCATTCCCTGCCTATCGCACCAGCAAGTAGTTGCATGTTTTGGAGTGGGCTGCAAACAGCACACTACTGTGCGAACAGACTAAGTGTTGGAAGCAAGCCAAACGTGATGAATCCTAGCTAAAAGCAGACACCCCTACTGTGGATGGAAAAATCCTGCACCACTTTGAAACCATGGGACACCGTTGTTTGTTGGTATTTTCAGGGGAATCATCATTCCCGGGTTTCTTACGTGGTGCATAATTTTGTCCATCCACAGTCTGAATACACCAGGGTTTACTAGATGTGGGGTTCCCATTAGGGAACACAGGCTTATCGGCTGAATGTGCTTCCCTGAATCGGATGGTCACCCCGAAGCACCATAGGGTTCCCTCAACAACTTGGGCAGCGCTTTCAGGTGGTCTTGGAAATTGATTCGTCGCATGTAAAGATGGACCCAAACTAAGAACCGGCTAGTAGCTTACCCCTTGGGCCAACCTTTTTTTCCTCTCAGTTTCCCTGATGTGATCCATATCTCACTTCCCGAGTTCCTGGACTTTAATCACTTTTCGGGTTTGGACCATTTTGCTGGTGAATCAAAGTTTCGTTACTTGTGTTGGCCCATCCGCTCAGGAAGTGAGGAATATTGAAGTTCTCTTTTGGTTTTCCTTCTTCGCCCCCAAGAAAGGGGGATCGTTAATCACTAATACACCAATGGATGTTTCTTTGGGTTTCCCTTCAATCCCCAAAAAGGTGATTCGACCGATTTCCAGGATGCTTTGTCAAGATTGTTTAAAGGTTTGCCTTATACATTTCCAGGTACGTGAGTTTCAGTTCGTCAGGAGTAGCCTCCGGGAGTAGCCTGTAACTCTGAAGGCAGATGCATTTCGTTGCATCTTTTTTGATATTGCCGGGAGGGAGGGGATTTTTGTTTTTGTCAAGGACCATAGTGACGGATGTCTACCAAAAGGAACCATCATTTCGGGCTCGCCCATTTTGAGACGCACGTGGATCAATCTTTGGGTAGACATGTGCGAGCAAACAAGTGTTGCCAAAGGCTGCGCTGCCACATGGGTTCTTTATCCGTGCCGAGAATCCTTTGCTCGTTTTGGTGAGGTACCCGCCAAACAAAGAAAAAGAGAGAGAGAGAGAGAGAGAGAGAGAGAGACACCCATATAGCATTCACAACGGCGAGTGGCGGGCCCGCACTTTTGTTTGATATCCCAATGTTCACCTCACTTGGCCATCGCTGGCTGGGTGTGTCTTCAAAAAGGAAGCGGACCCCCCAAAACACAACCCAAAGCAGGCTACTCTAGGCCCTCAAAAAACGACACATTCTAGTGAACCTTCCCCGATGATTCGTGACATGTGGCTCCCCTTGGCAAGCCATGCCTCAACTCGAGCCCCCCCTTCCGGGCCCCCCCTTCCGGGAACCTCGGATTCATCGACTCCAGTGTATTATTAGGGTGGTGTGTGGGGGTTTAGTTTTTAGAGTCAGACCACTTTTGGAGGGGCGAACGCCCCCTAGTTTCCTAGGACGAGTTTGTGACTCCGGGTCAACAGTGGGGAATCAGACCACTGGCGACCCCAAATCGGACAAGTTTTACTTAAATCCGTCAACAGATTCGTTTGAACGGTTCGGAGCCCTAAGCGCCGAGCCCGAAGCGGCAGGACGCCGGCCGTGGACGCAGAGTTCTTGAAGCAGGTGATGTTCCTTGGCACGCGGTTTGGGGACGCGGACACTTTATGGCCAAAAGCAAAGCTTTGGCTTGAGGACTAGGAACACGGCGTGGGAATTGCGTTCCGAAAAGTGGAGTACACGCTGGATGGACTGAAATTTGGTCAAGATTACTAAGCTAGCCAGACGCTGAGCCGTCCTTATTTGTTCTCAGACTGTAGTCAAGGGAATGACATTTGCATACCAAACTGGCAGAAAAGATTGACAGGTTACTCACATGGAATCAGGAAAACATGGTTGTTGTCGGGACATATTTTACATGGTTGCTTATTGTGGTTTGGTGGTTGAAATCCAACCACTTAACTGCTAAATTTTAAATATTGCTCCCCTTCCAACGTCAACCAACAAAGCGATCGACCGCTGAACTTGTCAAAACGATCGTTTCGATTGCAAAGTCACGCGCAATTAACAATTGTTTGACCTCCGCACAGTTGCCACAACGCGGTGAAACATGAGAGCTGTGCAACCCATGGTGGTCAAAAAAAGTCATTCATTCTTGGATGAATTCGGATTGCCAAATTTCATGGGTCAGGTCAGTTCGTTCGGGATTTGGGTGTTTTAACGTGCTAAAAAAGAATAAGGGTTTTTTACTCAAACTTAAGGGTTTGCCAAAACCAAAAAAAGAAAAGCCCAGATTTTGAAGCAAATCTCAAAGTGTACTATTGATGCCAGTTTCCTCGAATCAAGAATCAATTTGCTTGCTTCCCAGGGGACCGCGCCGTTTCTGCGCGCTGAGCCTTAGGGGTAAGACAGCCTGACGCTCCTGCTGAAAGGGGTTTGGGGTCATCTAAACAGAAATGAGTCTTGGCCGCCAAGAGGAAAGGGCTTGAACTGTTTTCGGGAATAACTTGCCTCTTCTGTCCGCAGCAAAATGCGTTGTGTTGGAGCCCAAATTCTGCTCGTATTTTGGCAGATTGGGCTTGCGTTTGCGGCAATTGCGAGTTTTTACAAAGAAAGCAGCGATCTGCAACAAATCCTGCATGGGCACATTTTTTGGGTTCTGGCCACACACTACATAATACGGAGCAGAACGTGTTTTTCTTGGTAGGCGTTTCTCAGAGGCCCCAGGTTCCTCGTGAACCAACTCCGAACAAACTCCAAGCGAACTCCGAACTCCGAACGAACTCCGAATGAACTCCGAACAAACTCCGAGCAAAGTCCGGACAAACTCCGAACGAACTCCGGGCGAGCTCGGAACAAACTCCGAACAAGCGAACAAGCTCCGAGCAAGCTTTGTCATTGGTTGATTTCCGAACAAACCCCCGAGCCAACTCCGAATACACTTTGGCCATAAGCATGTTTTTGAGCCTAAGTATTTTGGCGGTCAAACTGTTTTTGTTGCCTTTTTTCTGGCTTACCAAAAGAGGCCAAGTGATTACAGGGGCCAGTTTCAACAAGTGGCCTGGGAAGGAGTTCAGGGCCGGATTTGTAGGACTTCAGAGCTGCGGAGGGCTAAAATCGCTACCGGGGTGATCACGCAGCTTGGTTGACGCTGAGGCTCGCTGTTGAAGCTGAAACAAAGCTTAATCCTTTTGATCAAGGCTTAATCCGGGAAAAAAATATTATTCCAAAAAAAAGAGCTTAAGTTCAACACCGGTGTTGAACTTAAGGGTTTGCCCGATTTGTGTAATGGCTTGCCCGATTTTTGTCGTATGAAATAGCTGTTTTCTTGCATGAAAAGCCTGGATTAAGCATGTTTCAATGTTTTTTTTGCCCTGGTAACACTAAATTTGTACGAAAAACGCATCAACAAGCTGTAATTTCAGTGTTTTTGTACAACCAAAACCCAAAAAGTTCAACACCGAAAAAAACAATAAGCTCCAAAAAAAAACTTAAGGCCAAAGTTCGTTCGGAGTTCGTTCGGAGTTCGTCCGGGGCAAGAATTAAGCCCCGGAAAAAACAATAAGCAAAAGTCACAGCCTGAAAAAAAAACAAGCAATGAAACAAAACAAAGCCGAAAAAACTGAAACTTAAGGCCGACACACCAAAATCAGCTCCCCCAAAGAAAAATATGGCCAAAGTTTGTTTGGCGCTTGTCCGGGAAGTAAATCCAGCCCGAAACATACATAACAGGAAAATCAAGTGACCAAAAGAACTAATTTCAACAAGTGGCCTGAGAACATGTTTGTTTGCCTCAAAAAACACCTTCCCAGGCCACTTGTTGAAACTGGCCCCTGTAATCACTTGGCCTCTTTTGGTAAGCCCGAAAAAGCAAAAAAAACAGCTTGGCCACCAAAATACCTGGGCTCAAAAACATACTTATGGCCAAAGTGTGTTCGGAGTTGGCTCGGGAACAATGCCAAAGTTCGCTCGGAGCTTGTTCGCTTGTTCGGAGTTTGTTCCGAGTTCGCCCGGAGTTCGTTCGGAGTTTGTTCGGAGTTCGTCCGGAGTTTGTCCGGAGTTCGTTCGGAGTTCGCTCGGAGTTCGTTCGGAGTTCGTTCGGAGTTCGTTCGGAGTTCGTTCGGAGTTCGTTCGGAGTTCGGAGTTCGTTCGGAGTTCGTTCGGAGCTTGTTCGGAGTTCGTTCGGAGTTTGTTCGTTCGGAGCTTGTTCGGAGTTGGTTCACGGGGAACCTGGGGCCTCTGAGAAACGCCTACCAAGAAAAACACGTTCTGCTCCGTATTATGTAGCGTGTGGCCAAAACCCTAAAAAATGTGCCCATGCAGGATTTGTTGCAGATCACTGCTTTCTTTGTGAAAACTCGCAATTGCCGCAAACGCAAGCCCAATCTGCCAAAATACGAGCAGAATTTGGGCTCCAACACAACGCATTTTGCTCGTACAGAAGAGGCGGTTTCATAGTTAAGTTTTTCCCGGAAAGCAGTTCAAGCCCTTTCCTCTTGGCGGCCAAGACTCATTTCTGCTTAGATGACCCCAAACCCCTTTCAGCATGCGCATCAAGCTGCCTTACCCTTAAGTTTTTTTTGGTGTTGAACCGAATTCCCCACGCAAATTGGCAATTCGGATCAGTTGGAGTTGCAACGGTGGGGGAGTTGGTTGTGCACACACGCGTGTTTTGGTCTGTACGATGCAAGTCACATATTCAACCAGTTTACACTATGTCTAAATGTCATCCCCTTGCCCGCCAGACATGAGATTGGGGTAACATGTCCAGAAGGTTCGTTTCGGAGCCTTCACTTAGTTTGAAACTCACTTAGTTTGTGATGTCTTGGAGAGACAAGACATGTTGACCGCGGCTCACATACCAAGCCACTCGTGGCTTCCGGTTTTCCGCGAGGTTGGTGCGCTTGCTGCGCCTTGCACGGCTGGCACGCCCCAAGCCTGCACAGAAGTGGCATACATGTCCGCACGTAGAAACCTCAAAATTCTAGATGCTAGGGGTTGATTCCCCATTCTTTTCAACCATTGTTATTTTCAATAACCAGCTGTTTCCCCAGGGTTTCGGGTGGTTTTTTGGAAAGAAGGATGTCTGGGAAGAATGGGGAAGGTACCCCTAGAAAAATAGGTTCTTCCCTTGCAAATCCCTAAAAGAACGGACTTACCAAAGGAGTTTCCTCCACCAGAAGTCACTGGACTTTCCCTTCAGTGGACATTTGATGAGTGGGTTCCATTGAAACTGCCAGTGTTGAGGGCTCCAAAAAAGCGAGTGGAGAAAACCCTTTCCACAAACGGTGTTTGTTTTGTTGTTGGTTTTGCGTCAATCTGCAGGAGTGTAGTTGTAGAATGCCCATGTAAATCATGTCCACCCGGAGGAGGGTGCCCAATTAAGATTCTCACCCATGTGGTTGTGCAACACTTTTTCTCCTGGGGATATTCGGGCCTTTTGGGCAAGTGAGGTTTTTTTGGGGCACCCACAAAATCGCAGGTCTTCCTGGTGCCATTTACCACCCAAAAGGGGGGTACCAACTCCAAATGATCCACCCCCAAGTATTTTAGCTCTTCAACAACAAGGGTGCCATGAAGATTAGACTGTGCCAATTTGGGCGTGCGCCGTTTTTTTTTGTGTTCGGCACATAGTCACGTGGGTATCCAGCTAGGGACTCCGTTGGCTTTATCTCACATGCCGGAGGTACAAACTACATATTGGTTTGTGAGAGTCCCAGTTTCAACGTTTCGGCTCATGCTTGTGTCTTTGTAAATAGTGGCTTTCATTTGAGTTTCCGTTTAAAGCCACGAACAAGCGATACCAACTTTAGAAGAAGACAGACCCATTTAACAGGGCCAGTTGCTTGTTTGACATGGGAACAGTGGAAACCGCAGCGTTCTCGGTTGCCCTCTGCCTTCCCCGATGCTCACGCTCTCTTCGGATTGCGCACGTGCTTGAACGGTGGCTAAATCATTGGAGAGATGCAATCTAAGGAATTGGCATCAGATTGTGCACATTTGGTTCCCCCAAAGATGGTCAGCCCAAAAAAGACTTGGTCTTCAACCGCCGGATTTCTCCCATGTCCTTCGGCGTGGCGTGGGGTTTCCGCGCCGCCGGCCGGTTGAGGCCTGGTGCGCCTCATCGTGCAATTCCAGACGCTCTGGAAGCTGGTCTCTGGGCTTATGTCCTGTGCAGCTCGGCGGCACCATAGGTGTCCTTTTTGGTTGTTTTGGTCGAAACATAGATGGCGATTCCTGGTTTACTGGTGGTTTAATCATCTACCAGGGCCATCTATTTCCCCTAAAAGGACACCTAGGGGCAGCACTCTTTTTTGGGGAGCTTCTTTATGCTCGCTTGAGCGGGCGGTTACAGCCCCGCGAGGAGAAAGGACCAGGATTTGGACTCTTATTTGAAAACAGCAAGACTCTCAGTTCAAAGCGAATCGACCTTGGAATTGGAAGACCTCTTGGTTTTCTACTGTGGGTCGACATGTAGCCAGGATTCCAAAAGCTGATCACCTCTTAGCCCCAGAGGGGCATCGGAGCCTCCCGTCCCATCCCTCAATGGCGACAGCCCGAGGGCTCGAAGTTGAAGCAGACCGACTCGAAGGGCCCTCTGAGCCCCTGCGTTTGTTTCAATAGACTGGGGGTCCTAACTCTCAAGGACACAAGACAGGGGCATCTTGGGTTTGGACAATTCATGTTTGTTGTTGGGAAGCAGTTTACATTTTTGCTTATTGCGGTTTAGTGGGAAACCCCCACTTACCTGCTAAACTTGTTTTTGTTGCTCCCCTTCCAAGAACAACAAAGCCTGACTTACGGGACTTGAGTCACTTTTTGGGCTTGGAACATTTTAGTGGTAGACGCACAGTTTGGGGTGCCTTTTGTTGGCCAATCCACTCGATCGGTGAGTGTTAAACAACATTGAGAACCAACACTTGCAGCTGTTTAAGCAAGCAGTTGTTTTCATGGGGAAGGGTTCCCCTGTAAACCAACCAGCCTTCAAAACAGGATGCCTTTTTATCCATCTGAGTTAGGCATGTCGGTCAGCCTGCCAGGTTTTGGATCTGCCGTTGGCATATCAGCGAATGAAGGGGGATGGCGTAAAGGTGTTGAAAGATGAGGAACACATTGGTGGTTTACCAACAAATCTAGGGGTACCTCCAATTTCCATTCTTTCCAGGGATCCTTCTATGTAGAAAACCTCCTCAAACCCAGGGCAAATGGCTGGTTTTTGAAAAGAATGGGGAATCAAGCCCTAGAACAAGGCCATTGAAGATTGAGGGTGTCCGTTTTTGTTTGGGATCTCTTTTGAAACAAAGTCTAGGTTTACCAAATTGGGACCATCGTCCAACATGCTATGGATGCACAAAATTCGCAACACCTCACTTGGGATGGATGAAACACTATGAATGCTGGGATAAACCACCAGTCCGAACTGGTGCGAAGTGGATTTCGTCCATCCATATGTTTTTTGGGGGGCAATTTTTCTGTGGTAGTCTCCAACAAACTACAGAATACTGCCCCAAACCTCTATGTTTTCTAGGTGTTTGACTATTTTCTGGCCGATTTCCCCATAGTTGTTTACGACTTCGGCCTTTCTCGGCCAAGTCTCTTGCCAGTTCCGAAGCCAGGCACGTTGAGCAGGGCTCCTTAAAAGATACATTTTGGCCAGTCGAAACATGGCTTTTTCCACCAAAATAAATGGAAACCACCATTTACAAGGCAATGTTCAGGTGTATAATGTAAGAGCGAGTTCCCATCCCCACAGACAGCATCAAGAACTTCCTCTTGGCATGTTGTGGGGGAATTGTAATCCCTTCCCCCTAATGATAAAAGGGCCCCCCAATTACCAAAAAAAAAAGCCCCCCCCAATAAAAAACAGATTTACATTATTATTCGGGAGACCTTTATTAATAGGAAAGGATTACCCTTGCTCCCACTACTGCAACAATGCACCCGACAGAGGGTCCCTACGAGAGGAGGTTTATGTTCCAGGTCTCTGACAGGTGCTATGTTAATGGGGGGGAAGGGTAGAAACTCGAAAAGGCCCAGATGCTCCCTTTGGGCCGATGGTTAGGGAGAGATGATAGAGAACCCTGTTATTTTGCCAGTTTCCCCATGGTCCGAAATCCGGGGCCATAGAGCGGATGTGTATGTTTCCCTCGACCGCTACGTCGATGAACCATGCCGAGGCCAACACGTTGTTTTGGACCTTCTTGCTCATGAGCATCCTCTCCTACATCGCAGCTCTCTTCGGGCCTCGCACTTACAGATCACGAGATCCGTCCAGAGAAGATATCCTTTCAGAATCCACGGAAGACAATGAAAGGTGACACAAAGCCGCATCCCCCAACAACAACCACTGCTTTTTCCCATGTCCAACATCCTCTTGATTCGGTATTTCCAAAAAGCAGCTTTTTAGGAGTTTGGTGCTGCAAGGGGCTTGGCTTTTTTCCGTGGCCACTCGGAAGTTTTCTGGGATTTGCCAAGAAAGCCACGTGGATTTCAGGCCTGAGGTTCAGAGGTGAAGGCCATGGGTGGCTCGTCTGATTTGTTTGTTGGTCCGCGGAAAACGGAAGCCATTGTGGAGGGTCCCATTACGAAAGACACCCATGTATACCTCCAGTATCCGCCTGCATAACCATTGGAATCATTACGCAAGGGTTTTTTTTAGGCTCTGGATTCTTGGTGGTGTTTCGATACATTCGCACGAGGATGGATTTGTGTGACTACGACCCCACCCTGCCACTGGACCATCCATACAACGTGGCCGCGAAAAGCTCAGATCGTGCCGCATGTGTCACAGGTTCGGTCAACAAGACTGGTAGTCTATGGTTTAGGTACCCAGTGCCCTTTTTCCCCTTTTTGTTGACTGCTATTGGGTTGGATCTTTAGACTTTAACTTTTTGGGAAACAAAGGTGTTTTCCACTAAACCCCCAAACAGTTACACTTTTTGCAGGGAGGTCAACAGCAGCCAAGTTTTTGTTGAGGGGGTTTCCCTTTGTACAAAAGAACCAGCCTCCTCTCCATGTTGCCATGCAACCCACCAGGGAAATGGTCCCTTTTGAAGGAACAAACCATTTTCCAGGAATCTCCTGTAAGCGTCCATGGCAACGTGGATGGGACCCGAAAGAGTGTGCCATCTTTTTGGCCACTGGGGTTGGCCAAGAGAGGCTCATGTTTCACGCCCGGAGAAATGCGAGCTCACCCCAAGTTAGGTCCTTTACGCCCGGGGATGCCTTCGTTCGGGTTTTGAGATTGTCTGCGGATTGGATATACCCCCGGTTTCCAAACTCCGACCCTAACTGCGAAGATCAGGGAAAAAAGCGAGGCTGGTTGGATCCTATGAATTTGGCTGTCAAGCCGCGCTTGGGAAACATGAAAGACGCCAATTGAATCATGAGCCGCTATCGTCAAGAAATCAAGTGCAGAAGGATTCCTTTTGCTGAGCCAGTGCCACCAAATCCACATGGCAACCCAAAAAGTGATCACCTTTTATTTCTGGGTCCCTGAGGGGCAACTAAGAATTGGGCAGCAAGATGAAGGACGGGGGGTCAAAATGCAGGAAGGGGGGTCAAAATACAGGAAGGGGGGGGGGGGTCAAAATACAGGAACGGGGGTCAAAATACAGGAAGGGGATTGGGTCGACAAGGGTTCCAAGCGAGGTCAACACAAAAATGATGCCAGCCCCCCGGAACAGAGGTGCATTTTGCTTGGATGTTAGGACTTTAAAGTGTTGGCAACTAGTGAGTTTTCCTTTATAAACCACTAAAAGTTAAACTTTTGGCAGGGGAGCAGAAAGCAACCGAGGTAAGGTAGGAAGGAGTGCAGGTCAAAGAGCGAATAAGCACTGAGCCCGACTGAGGCCTTGGAGAATTTCCGGGGCCTCGATGATGCGATGTTCTCCTTGATGCAGCTCTTTACCTTTGACAGTGACTCGGCGCGGATGTTTCTCCCCAACAGCTGGAAGCTTTGGGGTCTCAGCCCAGATAGGCTCCAGGGTCCAGGCCGGCCCTGAGGTAAGGTTCCACACGGGTTCCACGAGGTTCTGCAAGGGCTGCGGGGTGGAGCTTAGTTTGTTTGTTGTTTTTTTACTTGGTGCTCTGCATTGGAAAGCCGGGCTTTTCCCTCTTTCCAAGGTTTTGTTGGTCCTTTGCAGGTGGAAAACGTCACCTTTGGTCACCTGTCACCTTTGGTTATTCTTGGTTCTTTGCATTTTTGGTCACCTTTGGTCCTTTGTCCTCGCCGATGGTTTGGTTTTACCCTCTTTCCAACACTTATGGAAGTAGACAGGGGCCTTCAAAGGAAAGTAGTCTTCCAGAACCCTCCTGTCAGCTTCCCAGATTGTTGGAGGGTATGACCGATGTCTGCAATACCAAGGCAACCCCTGCTCAAGCATAAAGTGGTCACCGGGATGGGTCGATTTGCAATCACAGAAAGGGTGAGTTTCCACAACCAGTCTTTCTGGGCGCCGAATACCATGTCAGCGTGTCACCCCTCAATAGTTGTGGGGTTGCCTGTTGGTTTCCCTTTCAAAATCCCCACAAAGGGGGGGGTCCCTCAAAAGAAGTCACCATGTGATTTCTAGCTTCCCCAACCCAAAAGGGGGAACAATAGGACATTGGGCACCACAGCAAACGCGTAGATTTTGGTGTTTTTTTGTTGTGGAACATGTAGGTGTTGGTCCAGCAAGGAATTATTCAAGCAAATATTGGCTTAACTTAGATCCCCAAAGGTCTAATCCAAATGGTCCGCCTGTTGGGTAAGTGATTGGGGGGGGGGGAAGCATGGGGGCAAAACGAGCTTACCATGATAAAGGTCCTTTACTTGGGAATCCCTCAATTCAGTTTTGGAATTATAGTAAGATTTTGATGGTTTGGATTGGTGGTTTGGGGTTTCTTGTAGCCTGGGCTCAGGGGACCTTCCAGCGGGTCGGGCTGAGCGGGCTGACTTCCTGAGGGTATCTCGCCATGTCCGAAGCTTCGCCTGTGCGTTCCACCTCCTGCAATCTGCCGCCCTTCCAGGGCCCACTGTGCGCTGGGCAGATCGTCCACACCGTGGTGGATGTTCTGGCCGAAGGACCTGGTGACATCTGGGTTTGCGCCACTGCCCTGACACACCAGGTGTGCCGCGTGGTTGGCCCCCTCCCTAGGGGGCCAAGCCGGGTTACCTTGTTTGGCTTCCTCACTCGTTCTGCTTGTGGGGGATTCCTTCTGGTCCGCACTGTTGACTCTTCGGTCTTCGCCCATTCTGTGCCAACGGTGGATAGTCTGTCTTCCGTGATTGAGTGCTGTGCAGGTTTGGGAGCCACATCCCAGGGGGCCCGGTTTGCTGGGTTTCGCACTGTTGCCCACGTTGAGAAGCAGCCCTCCCTGGCGCAGCTCTTGCAGCGCAACACCGCATCACATGTGGTCGTTGGGGACATCACCGATGAGCGCACTGTGCAGCAGGTCAGTCAGCTTGGGGTGGTTGCCCACGTGGTGTCCGCAGGTGTTGCTTGCCAGCCGTACAGTAGGGGTGGTGATGGCCAATCCGGTGATGATCCGAGGGCTTGGAGCCTTATGGGTGTCCTCCGTGCTTCCTGGCTGTGGGGCATCCACATGGTCATCATTGAGTGTGTTGGCCAGGCCCTGACCGATCCCTTTGTGCAAGGGGCGATTCAGCAATACTGTGCCGTCACTGGTTGCAAGGCGATTCAGACCACCTTGCAGTTGGGCCAAGTGTGGGCAGCCAAGAGAGAGCGGTGGTGGTGCATCATCTTGCCGCCATATCTGCCCGATACGCCCATCCCCCGGTGGGCGCCGGCCTTGCAAGGGCTGCAGGTGCGGGACGTCCTCCATGAGCTCCCGATTCTGCCACCGGCGGAGCTGGATCAGCTTAGGCTGACACCGTATGAATTGCGCAACTTCATGATGTATGGAGGGCTGAGCGAGATCAACATGCGTGCCCAGCTTCCGACGGCACTCCACAGTTGGGGCAACCAGCTTTACGCCTGCCGTTGCGGCTGTCGGACCATAGGGTTCTCCACCTATCGCCTCGAGTCCAAAGGCCTTTGGGAGCCTCTTGTGCGCGTTGAAGGGTACACCCTTGTGGAGGGCACCGAGGTTCCCAACTTTCGCCATCTGCACCCGTCAGAGGTAGCTATCCTGTGTGGGCTTTCACCTCAGTTGGATTGGGGAGATGATCTGCGTCTTGCCTTGTGCGCAGTTGGTCAGTTGGCCTCTCCCATTCAGGCAGGTTGGATCTTTGGCTGGGCCGCGCACCTGTTGCAGGTCGCTGTAGGTGCTGATCAAGTTGTGGAGCCCGCTGATGTTTTAGGTCGCCTCCTTGCCGTGCTGCGTGCCGATGCTGTGGATACATGGGGTTCTGCTTGTGGCCCCGATATTGCCGGTTCCGGGGGGGGCCCCCTAGGACCCGTGCCAGCTGTGCTAGGAAGTGCTGACAGTCCGGTCTCATCCCCCATTGGGTCCCAGGCCCGCCCGTGTGTCTGCACTGTGCGTCATGTGGGGGAGCAGACCGACTATCAGGTTGCCTTTTTCCCGGGGGCTATCGCTTCTGCATTTGCCGAAGCCCACGCCCAGCTTGGCCTTACCCCTCCTGCTGTGTGCAGGGTCGTGGAAGGTCCTCAGGATCGTGTGGTCCAGCACGGGGAGGTTGTTTGCATCACCACAATTAGCGAAGCCATTGTTGCGTCCGCCTCTTCGGATAGCCTCGAGAGTGTGCCTGAATCCGACAGTGTGCCGCATGCAGCCAGTGCGCCTCATTCGCCAATCGGGCTGTTCCCTAGTGTCCACGCCAGTTCAGTGCCTAGTGCAGTGCATAGTGGAGTGCCCAGCGCAGTGCCCAGTGTAGTGCCCAGTGCATCCGTTTTTCCCACCAGGCCACCAGCATCCTCTGCCAGCGGTCCCAACCCATCAGGGAGTGCTCCGTGTCTGTCCAGCCTGGAGGAGTGCTTTCGTGCCCGCCGTGATTGCATGCCTGCGCGTCTCAGAGTGGCGCAGGCCGCGCAGTTCGGCGACTTGTGGGGAGACGATGAGGTCCTCTTTCATTTGCGCAAGTTGGCCCAGGGAGCCGTAGGCCAGCATGCGGTGGTGATGGACCCGCTTATTCCTACCAGCGCGGTTCACCATGATGTGCCGGTTTTCACGCAGTGGTGGCATCACCATTTGCTCCCGGTCGGCACAGTTGTCCTGTCTGCCCTGTGGGTCTCCGATCATTGGGTTCCCCTCTTGTGGCGGATTACTCAGGCAGGGTTGACCTTGGAATCCCAGGATGCGACCACCGAGCATGCCCCCAAGTTGCATAAGCTGGATTCCCAGATCCCGGCATTCTTTACCCACAGTGCGCCCACCAAGATCCGCATGCACCCGTGTACCCAGCATTTGCCCTGTGGTCCCGCAGCCATTAGGTTCCTTGCAGCGTGTGCATTTGACCAAGTGTTCCATCTTCCGGATTCAGGGGTTGCCTCCCTTCTACGTCGGCAATTCCTTGAGGAGGTCCAGGCCGCAGGTCAGGTCATTAAGCCGTGGCTTTGGGGAGGCGCAGGTCACCCACCGGCTGAAGTTGTCCGGGCGCTAACTGATGTGCTTGTTGCGCACGGAGTGCCTGAGGGTGCTGCTGATGCCCGTGCACGGTCGGCGCTTGATGTCCTTGGGGTCTTGCCAGTGCAGTCGGCCATCCAATCCAATGCGCAGTGGAAAGCCTTGAAGACCCTTGGAAACCAGCACAAGCCTGCCTTTCAGTGGATCCACCCTGCTGAGCTCCAAGCTCAGATTGAGGCCAGAGCCCAGCAAGGTAAGCCAGTGGGACGCAAAGCCGCCAAAGCAGCCAAAAAGGGTAGCAAAAAGACCCAGTCCAAACCGGCACCCATCCACATTGAGCCGGCCCAGGTTCAGATTGCCAAGGGAACCTTTATGCAGATGCCAGACATTGCCTTAGCTCAGATCAGTTTGCCGGCCATCGGGCCCTGTGCTGCAGGCGTTGTCCTAGCCACCCCCGAGGAAGCGGCCACGTATGTCAGGGCGTCCAAGCCCATAAGCAGCCAGGCTTTGGGCCTTATCGTGGTCGGTCATGGCGCCGATGGGACTGTGCCCATCGAGCGCCCTTCGGAGCCAGTGCAGTTTCCGGCTATCTGCCTGTCCACCGGGGATCCCATCCTGCTCACTGGGGTTTTGTGCCAGTTGGGCGAGCGCAAATGCCAGGTGTTCCGCCCGGAGCAGCCGCTGTCTGTTGAGGTTGCCAAATCGGTGGTCCTCAAGGTTTTGGTTTTCCGTGATCAGGTTGTTGCGCCGTGGGAGGGCATTGCCGTTCGCCCGGTCAAGTACGTGACTGAGCAGCTGCCGTTGCTTAGGTTGTGCCGTCAGGCGGATTGTCAGTGCCCATGCTGGCACAATGCAGATAAGGTGCCTACGCAAGCGTCCATTCTGGATCTGTGGCGTCGCCAGTTCCTGGACGCCCGCAATCGCATGGCTGAGCCGACCCAGGCTGTGCAGTTTAGCTGCAACGTGCGTGTTCCTGAGGAGCTGGTTAACCCCTTGCTGCGGCAAGCTGGCCATGGCGGCATTTTCACCGAGCCTCGGTCCGAGGATGGCAAGGTGCCATGCCCAGCCTTTTCTGTTGTTTGGTTGCCCAAAGCCACCCTGCATGAAGCCACTGTCGTTAAGCAGTCCCACATTATGGCTGTTGGCCTCGCCCGAAATGGCGATCGCTACGGCGTGAGGACCAGAGCTGCCGATGCTGCCGCCATCCATGCCGCTGTTCGCCCGGGTGTTCCGTTCATGGGGGGCTCAGTAAAGCATGTGTACGAGGTCGGTCCGCTCCCCTTTGGGACCCAGCGAGGGTCGTTGCAGAAATGGCTCGATGAGTGGAAGTGGTGCGCTCGGCCTCTTCAGGCCGGCAGTGTTTCTCCTCATCGCTCAGGTGTGATGTGGAA